CTTGTGGTCCCAGCTATCAGGTGAAGTGGGAGGATTGCTTAAGCCCACGAGTTCAAGGCTGTAGTGAGCCATGATCGCACCACTGCACTCCAGCATGGGCAACAGAGTGAGATCCTATCTCAAAAAAGAAAAGAAAGAAAAGAAAAAAAAAAGGAAAGAAAGAAGGAAAAGGAAAATAAACAGAAGAAAAGAAAAGCATGATAGGTAACAGAGATGTGAAAAGTCCAAAAATCAGTTACATGCATTAAGAAACACATACCATGGTTTCATTTGCTTTATGGCACAAGGTTGCAAACCCATCAAGATAGAAAATGGCACAGTCAGAGCCGGGTACAGTGGCTCACACCTGTAATTCCAGCACTTTGGGAGGCTGAGGTGGGTGGATCGCTTGAGGTCAGGAGTTTGAGACTGCCTGACCAACCTGGTGAAACCCCATCTCTACTAAAAATACAAAAATTAGCCAGGTGTGGTGGTGTGTACCTATAGTACCAGCTACTAGGGAGGCTGAGGCAGGAGAATTGTTGGAACTTGGGAGGCGGAGGTTGCAGTGAGCTGGGACCACGTCATTACACTCTAGCCTGGGCAATAAGAACAAAACTCTGTCTCAAAAAATAAAATAAAAAAATCAAATGATTGAGTAACTAACAATACAACTAGTACTCAGATAAGGCAAAAAATCATTAAGGCAACACGCAATTCCCTGAAGATTGGGAAATGATTCTCTGCTGAAAAATGAAACTCCAGGACCAGGGGTGTTAGGGAGCGCCAGGGACAGCCTTTTCAGTTTAGGTAAAACCCTCAACTTCCATATTTTACTTCCTCCCACTGCCCCTGCCCCTCAGGCAGATGAATTATTCACTCTGGGCTCCCCTTGCAGGCTCCTGTAAGGATTATCTCACTGCCTGGAAACCATGGAATTCAGTGATCTCCCCCAGAGACTGTGAGCTCCTTGGGTCAGGCACTGGGGCTGTAATCTATTGTATCCCCTGGTCTTTGATCACAGAAAGTGTCAACAAATGTTTCCAAACTCAGCAAAACAAAGTGAGAGGAAAAGACTCCACTAAAAAGGAATCACACTGTTAAGATCCCAAGAGTTGCCTGCCCTGCCTCTAAGACTTTAGGTCCTCTCTCAGCTCAAGTCCAAAACCAGACAGACACTTACCCGGTCAGAGTCCTGGGGGCCCCCATGAGATGCTCCATCAGGGTTAAAGTGGTCCCCACAGCTAGGAAAGAAAGGAAACAGGTGGGCAGGAAAGCAGCTCACAGAGCAGGTGCTCTACCCTCTCACCTATCTATATTTGCTTCATTCATTCATTCATTCATTCATTCATTCAACAAACAGGCCTACTCTGTGCTGGGCTTTGGGTAGAGGGCACTGAGAAGAATCAGACATGGGTCCTGTCCTCAATAAGCTCCTGGCTCAGGGGAGTCACAGATGAGTAAACAACTAGTTATATCACAGCATAACTAACACCATGGCATGGGGACCCTTCCTTTCCTGTGTCCAGAAGTCCCCTTCCATCTCAGAGGCAGTAAGGTGGTTACAAGCAGGACCTGCAACATCAAATTTTTTTTTTTCTTGAGACAGTGTTTTGCCCTGTCGCCCCTGAGCTGGAGAGCAGTGG